GCTCCGCCCCAGTGGCTCTGGCCATGGAGTGTCTCATGTTAACCTTATGAGTATTCATATTTAGAGAAATTAAAGAATTTTGTCAGCCTTTTCAACTGCACAAGTTGGTTCTATGATATTAAATAGCATTAAAAAGTTATAAGGCTTGCCAATAGGGTACAGCACTATTATGTTTTTTGCATATAATGACCACAGCTAATTTGAACCAACTAGCAACAAAAAGTTGTGGTACACAATGAGAACTTTACTTTTTTCCATGGTTTAGGTGCAGTGGTAGAACATTAGGGCTATGGTAGATGTGTGTTACACTATAATAGGATACCGTATAAATTAAAAGACCAAATTGTCTTAAACCGCGTCTTCTCCCATGACTGCAATAAACATTTATACTTATATGCAAACCCCGTACGAAGGACGGGTACTCTGCTAGTTATAGATAAAACATAGTCTCTTAGCTATTAACCTACAAAATCAGAGCTTCGGTAGTTTAGGTGTGGTTCAAAGAACTGGGCGCTGGGAGGCAAAACGCGATAATTCCTCGGACGACTCGGTAACGGGGATATTCCCCGCGAGCCGGGTAGATGCAGGGAGACGTCCGCTCAATTACCCACCCGAACCAGTTTTGTCCGGCTCACGCACTGTCCGCCTCACGCACGTCCGGGGGAAACACGGCACCGAATGTTGACGGACGTACAGCCCAAACCACTGGCTCAATTTTAATGTTTTTTTATGTTTTTTGAAAGCCCTTAACGTGTAGATGTGCCTTTTGAGGGACTCAAGTCGGTGCGTTGACCCATAAACCCTTGGCAGGCTCTCAAAGTACGATTTTGGGCCATTTAAATAACATGGGATTAAAATCAAAACAAAAAAGGACCAGCTGCGATTAAATCTCAATTAATTTAAATGTTAGAGAAATTCATAGGAACAGCTGATATGATAATTATTTTAAAACTTTTATATAAAGTATTTTTTTTCAGGTAAACCGAATGATTTGAACTACTTACTATATAAAATTACTTAGAGCAATGATATTCTCCGATACTTTCCATTGAAAAATGCAGTGTACCGATGGTACACTGGTACAGCAGCTCGTCATTTTTAACAGTTTAATACTACAAATGAAACCTAGGAACTTGAAACATAGTACTACCCTAAGGTCTGTTTTATGTTCTGATAAACTAAAACAAATAAAACAATCGGGAAAATCACTCTATACGTATGTTAAACAAGCAATTAAAAAGTGATATGTAAATTTCGGATAAATTATAGTTTTTTAATATTTGTTTTGCCTTATGCTATTTCTAGCAAACCTAAACTGTTTGATTACAATACATTTTTACTTCAATAATAAGGGATCAAATTACACTAGTCTTTAGATATACGGGTTTAATTATCAGAACACTTATGTAACACCAACGCATTTTATGTTGTTCAAGATGAACATTGATGAATTTACAGCCCCGGACACAGAACCTATATTAATGGATGATGACTAAAATAATTTAATGCAGTTGCAAAGTGTGTATTTGTGTAAAATGTGTTTTGAAAACACGTGTTAAACGTGTTGTAGTCAAAAGGGCGGTTTTTTTCTATTTCTGATTTTGTCAAGAATATTGTTTTTGTTTAACACGTGTTTTCAAAAACTTCAAACGTAGCAATTTGAAACTGAGTTTAAGCCCAGGGGGTTTGTTAAATAGTAATTTTGGTACGTGTGTCAAACAGTTTTTAATCGGTTTAAAGCAGATAAGACAAAAAATGTAGAATTTAGTTCTACACAAACAATATTATTGAAATGAAATGAGATGGAGATGTGCCGTGGTCTATATATTTCACCCAAACTGTTTATAATCATTTTTAATTTAACTAAATGGCCCGTTAATTTATTTCAATAAAATGCTTACAATAAAGAGATGGCTTCTTTTATTCTTTTTATTGGAAGGATATGCCTTTTACACAAATTTTCGAAAAACATTAAACATAACCCTACAAAAAATAAAAAATAAATTAAAAATTGTTAATTTCTGCCCGAATTTTAAGTCAATTGGTGCTAAGTAGGCCACCAGATGCAAACATATTTATACAGCAGCCAATGATGAACACATAGCAAAGCAAAGATGGCCCATTGGTTCAAAGAATGTGTACATGCTGTTATTAACAGAACAGTAGAACCAGCAGTAATCAATTGTAGTAAAATTCCATCAGCTCGGTTTGTTTTAACGGTATTACTTTGTTACAAATAAAATTTATTTAAATTTTTTTCAGAGAAAAGAGGATTTTTATTTTAACTGTTAATTTTCTACAAAAATAAATAAAATCTAACAAAAAACCACTAAGTGGTAGTAACACTTTTCCCGCCAAGTCAGCAATCCAAAAAAATAGTAAATCATTGCTTTTTTCCGCCAAGAAAAACAATGTAATGTATGGCTTGTTAAATACTTCAAAACATTAATGACATCTTTGCAATGGCAAAAGTTTACTGTTAATCTATTTTCTGTAGTAAAATTACATCATTTTGATGGTTTCTACTTTTATTTTTTATTTTTAAAATCACCAAGTTTGGCAACTTGGCGGCAGACTTTTGCTCGATCACTTTAAAAAATACCATAAAACTAGTTTCATTGAGCAAAGTATCTCTCCCAATAGTACATTGCTAGGTGAGAGCTTATTTTACAAAATTTGACCTTATTTGTGCTACATTTCATAAAATCATAATAGTGATGGTTTTATATTTACTGATTACCTCGAAATTATTATACTTAGTTAGTTGGACTAATTAATTAGAGAAGTTGATTTATGAAATTATCCTCGAACGTAGCTTTAATGAAAAAAAAAACATGCAAAAGTCTGCCGCCAAGTTGCCAAACTTGGTGATTTAAAAAATAAAATATAAAAGTAGAAACCAACAAAATGATGTAATTTTACTACAGAAAATAAATTAGGTAACAGTAAACTTTTGCCATTGCAAAGATGTCATCAATGTTTTGAAGTATTTAACAAGCCATACATATTACATTGTTTTCCTTGGCGAAAAAAGCAATGATTTATTAATTTTTTTTGGATTGCTGACTTGGCGGGGAAAGTGTTACCACTTAGTGGTTTTTTATTAGATAGTATCTTTGAAATAGTCAATGATAGTATTAAGAGAAGGTATTGTTTTCGTCAAAATTTTCGAATTGAGGTTTTAGTGAATATATCCATTTTGGGTCTCCTGAGCCATAGACAAAACATGGTGCCTCACTGTTTGGTCATATATAGCTAGTGGACAAGTTAATTTTTATGATTTAGATAGTTTTATTTGGCTAAACGAGGTTTTAAATTACTGAAATAACAAGAAACAAATGTAAACAAAACCCGACTCTACAGTACACCGGACGGGGGCAGAACTATCAGTAAAATTGGCTTCAGCTGTTCCATAAGGATGGATCTACTATAAGGGTATTCAAATTCAAATTGTTTATTCGGCCAATAAACCATACATAATAGGCTATGTCAATACATAATTCAATAAAATAAGAATAAAACCATCATCAGAGATTGGTTAACAATAAAATCAAACCATGCTTAGTTCAAGTCAAATAGCAGGCAAAATAAAAATGTTTATAAATCAGATTTAAACCATGCACATTTGGAGGAAAAAAATCAAAAAGCAGTTAAAAAAAAGCACACACCATGCATTATCTAATTACAGGTGGACCTCTGTCTTAAGGAACTCACTAGAGTCAAATAAAGGTGTTTCTAAGAGCCAATTACTTAGAAAGGCTTTGAATTTAGGTAAAGGCAAACGCCTCACTTTAAGAGGCAGATGATTAAAATACTTGCAACCTGAACAGGAAAACAATTAATTGATTTACTCAGTCTGTGCCTTACAGTGAAAATATTAAACCTATTTCTAGTGTTATGGCTATGTACATGCTGATTTCTAGGAAGGTATATTTCATTGGACTTAATTTCTAGGAGACATTGAAAAATATATACATTATATACAGTCATGACTTTGTTTTGGAGAAACAGTGGTTTGGAGTGCGCGAGATCCTGGGCTCCACTAAGTACTCTCATCGCTTTCTTTTGCAGAACCAGAATTTTGTTGACTTTAGGCGAGTGACCCCAGAGTCTCGTACCAGGTTGTCTATGATAAAACATACTCCTCAGGGACTTCCATTTTGTTTATTATTTGTTATTTTACAGAGCACTATGGCAGTCCCAAAAATGCGTAACCAAATGTAGAAAAAACTGATAACTTGGATGTTTGTCATCCGATTTTTACAAACAAGGTCTCATATGATTAGGATTTAAGTTCTGTATCTTTTTGGTTCAAAAAAACTATGTTCTTAATATTTACGGTTTTTATAAAATTTGGCATTAAAAATTTTAAATGGCCGTCATATTGAAACGGCTTCAGATATTGTAACGAAACTTTGTAAGCTCTTTTTACCTACTAAAATACACATTTATACCAATTTTAAAATTTCTATCTTGAAAAATGCTTAAGATATAAAATAATTATTACAAATCACGAACAGACCGACAAACATTTTGATTTTAGATCCATACTTATAAGGTATTTTATGTTTGTCTTAGCCCAAGGAACAAGTCTACAAAATATGTCCAGACAAGTTGGGAACACCCTGTGGAATACTATAATGACGGCGAATGATGGGGCCCGCTGGGCCCTATGCATCGCCCAGTGATTAGTCTGGGTTTCTATAGTCTGTGCTGTGCTTTTGGGAGAAAGTTTGTGTCAGATTGCTGATACCATTTATTATTCTTGATAATAGCATAGATAAAACATACTCCCTTAATAGTACTTAATTTATTATTTATCGTTATTCTTTGTATCACCATAGTTATAACCTGAGGAGTATGTTTTATCTATGGTTATACCATAGATAAAACGTGTTGGTTAGTCTATGGTTATACCACGGCCGCCGTCGTTATACACGGATTGTACTCTGTATAAAGTATTGTATCTTTTTTTATAAGCGGAAACAGATTCTACGTTTCTTCTTATTGTTCTCATCAGCGTCGCGGTGGCAGTGGCAGCACTGATGTCCCCTCTTTCTCATCTCGGCTGGACAAGGTACGTGAATTGTTAACTTTTGAAAATTTATAATTATTATTTATTTACTTTGCCTTCTTAACTTAATGTATTAATTATAGACTAAATTTATTTGTTATTTAACTTTCTTTACCTGTACGTATTACAACTAAGCCCAATGTACTTACTTTGATGTAAATGGATTTGTATTGTGTCTCGCTTGACACAACTACCTTAACCTTATGACTGTGGGGTACTTCCTAATTTATTTGGAACATACCAAGTAGGCTATTAGAGTATGTTCAGCGTTATTTAAGAACTAATTGATGGATCAATGTAATTAAAGTTTACATTCAACGAGATTTGGGTTGTTTGATTCTTCAAATCTAAAACCTGTTCACCAAATAGGTTAGGCAAACAATATGCTAGGCTATTATTATTCACTGGGCTCGGGCTGTACGATTTACTATGGGCCTAGTACAGGACCAAAGTATTAATAGTCAAAGGTCCTATCAGAGACTAAGCCAAATTCCATTTTTTTTCTTGTGTTTTTGGTTAGGTCCAACTCAAAATAGCAGTAAGTAGCTTAACTTAAGTTACCAACCTGTGGTAAGTTACACTTAAGTTAAGGCTATTGGTTGATAGTCCTACAATTGGTAGGCCTATGGTACTTACTTTTTATAGGTTAGGTGGGGGTTTCAGTCCATGTCAAATCAACACACCTATTTTACCTCACCATCTTAGATTTTTATGAAATTTGGTACAGAGGTTACCTTTATAAAGATTAAAAAAATACCAAATTTCAACTCAATATCTCAAACAGTTTGAAAAATGCGGCCATTTAACCCTCCTAGTGTCCCTTGTTTTGGCCTTAATGTCTGCCTTTTTTTTGCTCATTTGCAAGGTTTTATTAAAACGGATCTGAGAAGCTTGAAAACAATGTTAATTATGCTGTTCTATATACCATTTTGTTTGGAAAATCATGGGCTTCAATATTATACATAGAACATAGGCCTAAGGGACATTTGTTTCAAAAAAAAATTTTTTAAACAAATGTCCTTTTTTTGAAAAATTTTTTAAAAAAAAAATTAGTTTGCGCTCAATGAAATTGTATAAATTATAGGCCTATAAATATTTGAAAATAGCGACTTTGTTCTAAATTTTATGAGGATTACAAATATATAGCCTACTTCCATAGCTAGGAATCTGGCTGATAATTTACCTACTTCTTCAGGATCATCAACCAGCCCTTCAAAATCACTTAAATCTTCTTATAATGCACCTCGTATATCACTACTTTTGATTTCTAACACAAAAACAATGATAAACGGGTCATTCCATATGAAATCAACAAATAAAAAATTATTTTCAACCTGACCATCTTGGATGTTGATGAAATTTTGCATACTTGTAGTATTTTTAGTCCTGATTCCAAATATGCTTTTTAAAAAAATCTATCTTTTATAGTTTTTATGATATAAATATTTGAAAATGGTAAAAATTGGCGTTTTTTACCGTGCGCGCAAATCTAAAATGCTGTCTAGGATGAGTTCTATTAATCCTATCAAGTTGTACAATGGCTCATTTTAAAGAGGATTCAAATGCCTTTAATCTGATACCAAACTCAACCTACTTTGGTAAAAATTAATTGTTTTTGAAAATTTCAAAATATGTTTTTGAAAAAAAAATTAAGATAGTGTTTTTTGAAAAATTTGAAAATTACATATGTTAAAGAATGTAATCTAGTAAGTACATTATAAAAATTTCAAAATGGGATGATAATGGGATCAGCAGTTATGATAAAAATACTTGACTATGGTTCACTGTTTCCAAGCGTTTTGGCGCATACAGCGTGTAAGTACTAACCTAAATGTATCATTAAATAAGAGTCTATTAATTATATGATTAAAATTAAAAATATCTGCCTATATTTGAATTATGTATGTCATATTTTGCTATATATAAACTAAATCTAGCAAGTAAACAACATTATTCAAGTTAACAGAGTTTCCGTCAACCTTTGAACAAACATGGTCCAATGGGTAAGGGTAAGGTTCAGGTTCCTCAGTCTTTTTCCAGTTAGTTGTGTTGCAACGATTTACTGTAATCAATCTTTAAGTCTGGCTTTTCACTAGGCTGGAGACACTAGTCAGCCACTAGATCTGCAAAATCACATTGTGAAGCACTTTACGTTTACACTATCAGGTTGCAGCGACCCATCTCGGCTGTAGCGACTCGGTCTTGAGACAAGAGGAAAGACTGACAAACATAAGTTAGACCTGTGTACCTGTCAAACAAATTACAACTTCTCAAGACCGGGTCGCTACTGCCGAGGTGGGTCGCTGCGACTTGATAGTGTAATCGTAAAGTGCTTCACAATGTGATTTTGCACAGATCTAGTGGCTGACTAGTGTCTCCAGCCTAGTGAAAAGGCAGACTTAAAGATTAATTACAGTAAATCGTTGCAACACAACTAACTGGAAAAGACTGAGGAACCTCAACCAAAACCCATTGGTCCATGTTTGTCTGTCTTTCCTCTCGTGACAAGAGAGAGAGACAAACAAGCATTGATAATTTTGTCACACAATATACTGTGATCAATCTATTTAAATCCTGTAGTAACCTTATTATTGATACATAGATAATATTCCATGATAGTCTAATTATTTAGTTTTGGGGAAATGTCTGCTCATAAGTATAAATAATGTATTCTTACTTTAACAATTAAAATTTTTTTAGTGAAAACTGATTTGTGGATTTAAATACCACAAACCGCATACCACATTTCTGTATAACTTCTATTTTGATATGTCAAAAATTAAAAAAAGTTACGGAGAATTTTCAAAATGTCCGTCCGGTTATTTTTTAACTTTGCAAGGGTAGCCTATTTTTTAAATATCATAGCAGTCAAATAAAGGAATTGGATTATGGCTGCTAACTAAAGCTCAAAACATCTGTTTTCATTAGAAAAATCATTTAAAAAAATAACACTTAAAAACCCAAGTATTTTTTTTTTCATGTCCGGGAAATTTTGCTCCAGAACTATGGTTTCGCGACGCCATAAGTAAGGGTCAGCAAATTAGGTAATTTTTTCTTTCTTTTTTGTAAAGTCATTACTGCTTATAAAGTAATCAAAGCAGGTATTTTCTTAATCCCAGATAAATGGGCTATTCAATTATGGTTTTAAGTCATAAATCATAAACTTACTGGGTTTGCTGTAGACATGGAAGTTTGGACGACTTTTTTTTACTAAAAAATTTCAGTGAAAAATAAGTATTTTTAATTTTTTGTAGAACCATAGTATGCACTATTAAATATTTTTTTTAAGAAGAGTATTTATCTGGGAATAGAAAATTATAATAAATATTATCATTTAAAGATGAAATTAATATGAAAAAAAAATAAAATATGAAAAGTGGAAAGTTTGTTCAAAGTAGCCCCCATGTTCAAAGGTTGACGGAAACTCTGTTAACTTGAATAATGTTGTTTATTTGCTAGATTTAGTTTATATTATAGCAAAATATGACATACATAGTTCAAATATAGGCAGATATTTTTAATTTTAATCATATAATTAATAGACTCTTATTAAATGATACATTTAGGTTAGTACGTACACGCTGTATGCGCCAAAATGCTTGGAAACAGTGAACCATAGTCAAGTATTTTTATCATAACTGCTGATCCCATCATCATCCCATTTTGAAATTTTTATAATGAACTTACTAGATTACATTCTTTAACATATGTAATTTTCAAATTTTTCAAAAAACACTATCTTACATTTTTTTTCAAAAACATATTTTGAAATTTTCAAAAAAAATTAATTTTTACCAAAGTAGGTTGAGTTTGGTATCAGATTAAAGGCATTTGAATCCTCTTTAAAATGAGCCATTGTACAACTTGATAGGACCAATAGAACTCATCCTAGACAACATTTTAGATTTGCGCGCACGGTAAAAAACGCCAATTTTTACCATTTTCAAATATTTATATCATAAAAACTATAAAAGATAGATTTTTTTAAAAAGCATATTTGGATTCAGGACTCAAAATACTACAAGTATGCAAAATTTCATCAAAATCCAAGATGGTCAGGTTGAGAGCCTTGTTGATTTGATATGGAATGACCCAAACGTAATAAAACACATCAGTCCGCGGTGCGAGGTTAACCAAGCTGTTTACAAAAACGCACGTCAGCTGTCTGCTACAATATTTTCGGAACTAAAATGAAAAGCGCTTAGAGACAGACCTCCGGAGAAAGCTCTGAATCTGACAAATAAAACGATACCTAACTCGATCCAGTTCAATCCGATTTTGTCAGTTATAGAGCCTTCGCCGTAAACAGTGTTTGTGAGTCGCTGCAGTGACACAAAACACTACACAAAGTGTGTTATGTGTCGCTGCAGCGACAAATAACACTCGGAGGGTTAAAGTTTTCAAAAAACGGCCAAAATCGCGCTGTGGTATAACTTTTAAATAGTCATAACTCGTCTCCTGTTTAAGTTAGAAACATGGGAAAGGTGTCATTTTTTAGCTCTTTTTATGCCCTTTCTAATGGATATATAACACATACCCTAATAGGTTATGACAACATTTTTTTCAAATTCAAAAATATTTTTAAAATAAAATATTTTGAAAAACACGTTTTTGATTATTTTCTAAAAAATATATAAAGTTGTTCATGTTATCAGTAATGTGTACACTAAGTTTGGTTATGGGATTGCAATGGGTTCATGGTTAAAATAATTCAAAACCAACGGTGGTTTGTCTAGTTTGCTATCATTACTGTACAACCAAACTCTGTAAGACTGACAGACAGACAGACCTTTTAGTCGTCAGTCTGCGGGCTCAAACTTCTCTATGCCTTTATCAATATGATACTACAGTTGACTCGGGGAGCAGTCGGCAGGAAAATCGGTCAACCCCAAAATGCCCCGATTGTCTGGCTGCGGTCGGCCTGTGTGTGCGCTCAGATGGGTTCGACTTTGACTCCCGACTACGACAAAACAGTCAGCTCTCGTGTGCGGTAGGCCTAAACTGTAGGTAAAAATAACTATGAAGCTCAATTTCGAGAAGGATATGAACTCTGCTGACTCCGCTCAATTTTGTGTATGCCTCTGCGAACGCCACCTGCTTATATAGGCCTAATAAAGACAAGTCAAAGACTTACACAAGTTTCCTGGGTCTGTTCCAGCTTTTGAGATGTAGGCTAGTTCCTGTAAGCAGACCAGACAGTATTAAAATCCGAAAGTTGTTTGATATATAAATTGTTGTTTTTAAAGTTATGTCAAGTTAATAATAATAAAATTTTTAGTAGACCTACTGGTACAACTTATATTTTCAAAGGGAAGTTGAGTTATTATTTTATCAGGTTATTGTTTACGTACCACACGTCACAAAAAAACGTTCTTAAACGCTTTTAAACTGTTCTTTGACATCAACGCTACAACTTTGTAACTTTTTTGGAGGAGAGGCTTCCTTTTATTACTAATTGGAATTATCAGCAATAATTCCTACGTTCTAGGGGGCTCGGTGGGAATTCAGGGTTTTGGGTAGGGGGAAATTAACATGGTTAATCAACGAGAGGAAAGGGTAATTATGCAGGAGAAAAGGGTAATTTAACGGAGAAAATTGGTAATTGGCAGGGAGGAACGGGGTGTTTGCCCTTAAAAAAGGAGGAATTATCTTGAAATGGGGAAATTTAGTCACTGTCAGCCTATACTTCCGTCGTGTGGTACTACTGTGACCAGGGTTGTTGTACCTTTGCTATTGGTCTTTGTTGGTGACGTCAGCCTTCGTCTTGAAGAGACCGGAAATGAGTTAGCCATTGGAATTGGTGATATAGCCAACGTATATATCTATACAGTAGAACCCTGGTTAACCAAAAAAAAGGGGGAGGAGCCGTTTCAAATATGTAACCAATTTTTCGGTTAACCCATTATATGCTAAAAATAGCCTATGTATTACCACGGTGTGTGGGGAAAATGAATTAAAAACAATCCCCAATGTTTATATTAGGCCTATACAGTGTTTTATTTCAGCTACAGAAATGTGACGATGGGTTAGAAAATACTTTAGACTAAACAATTAAAGTTACTAAAGCATTTTACATTACTTAATTTGAGACGTGTATTATTTTATGGAACCGTTTGGGTTAACCCGAATTCGGTTAACCGGGGTTCTACTGTAGCCTATTTTCACTACTTATTAAGGCGTGTGGGGAGAATAGGTTGGGGTTTATGTTGATTCGTGGCAGCACTAAGTGTTTTGAAGGTAGTTTTGATTAGGAAGGTAAAAATTAGGTTATAGCCTACCAGCTGTTAATTATGCTTTATCCATTTGGCTTTTAGCAATTGGAGTAGTTGCTTGAACTACGAGGTTACGATTTCGAAACAATAATCTCCCTATCATTTCTTTCAGATGTTTACAGCAAGTTCAAAAATAATCAAAGCTGGAGGGTCAGAGCCTGACCCCTTCGAGGTGTCAATCTCTCAGGCACTGCTGGAGCTGGAGATGAACAGTGATTTAAAAGCCCAGCTTCGGGAACTTTACATTACCAAAGCGAGGGAAATTGAATACAACAACGGCAAGAAAGTAAGTTAGCCTACACATTTTTAAGTATTTGTTATAATATCTGCAAAAGACCAATATTCTCATTAAATTTCTAGGTCAAATTTTAGGCTAAAATGAGGCTATTGCAACTTGTTTAAAATTGAAACCTAAAACACAAACTAGTAGGCTAAATAAATCTTACATCATATCTTACAGTATAGCTTCTTACATCAGTTGAACTTAAATTTGCCCAAATGTTTTTAGGGGATATCAAAAAAAGTTGATCTTAGAAGGAAATGGTAATGTTATAGGGTAGTGTCCTAGTGTTGCTAGGTTGCATTTAGCATTCTTAGTGTCAAGACGGACATACAGTAAAAATGTTCTTCCACGGTGAATTGCCCATTGGCATGTCATCACTAAGGGAACAAAACAATTAAGTTGATCCTGTAAATCAGCGATTGAATAGGCTATTCACTTTGCACTAATAGCCTAATAGGCCTATGCCATCTTCTAGGGTTGGGACGGGATTGTAGGCCTACTGTACTTTAGATCGGAACGGGACATTGCCTTTTCTTCCCACACCGCAAGGGAAACTTGATGTAAAGTCTTGTGTAGCCTAAACATAAGTCTTGCAAACACCAACAATGACAAAAAAATCAATTTTCAGCATTATCACACTATTCTATGTCTCCCATCGTATTGTAATCTATAGTCGCTGCACTAGTGATTGTCTCCGCTAAAACAGACACATTGTTTCACGTGGTATAGCGTCAAAATCATGAAGATCTGTGAATGCAGAGTAATTATCATCACCCCCCATAGGCCTACTGGTGAATCCATAAACATCTAAGCCTACAGCAAGCGATTGTGGAGACATAATCTGTTGTTTCCCGGGTCCGGAATATTCTGACAGTTGACACAAATTCCATATTAAATTTCATCCTCACTAAAAAAATAGCCTATATCTTCCCAAATTTTTTTTAATTTTTTGGAACCTGTCCATTTCTATTATTTAGGCCTACTTTAATCTAATCATCATTGACATGTAGCCTAAATCTATAATAACCCTTCCCAGATGGCCTATAGTATGTAGGCTATACAGATTTTTATTAAAAAATATGTATATCTTTTTACTGTCATAATAATTGGCGGATATATCTGCCTACTGTCCGCTTTGCACAAAATGCTAGCGGATATATCCGCCTACAGTCCGGAAAGGGTTAAAACCGATTAACTACACCTACCTTAAATATGTATTCCACTTGTATAGAATCAGAATCAGCCTGAAAAATACTATTTTCTTGCTAAACTAACCATGGATTACCTTCTACAAGAATATAGTAGGCATTAGAAAGTTTTGATTTCTTTTCCTCAACCCTGTAATAGCCTATTATTTCTCAAGAACCCAGTAATAGGATACATTAATAATACCCCTGAAGCAAACCTGCAGACTAATCAAATTAGTCCTACTTAGTCCTAGTTACCTAGGTGGAATTCCATTAAATTATTTCTTATTTAAAAATATCATTAACTTAATTTTAAAGAGTAGGTAGATTGTAGGTTTGGTGCTACAGGGAAGACAGATGCATTTTTCTATTTTTGTTTATTTAAGTATCGATAGCTTAGTATGGAGTTGAAACATTTTCCACACCAACAACAGTTTATTTTTTCTCCATAAGGATAACATAGTGATTTTAAATTTACACCTTTATAAAACGCTTAAACATAATAAAGTATTTGTTTTTTTGAGCTCTACTAAATGATTTGGAAAGAAATTGTAAAATTTTATGTTTTTATTGAGAAAAATTGGAAAAACCCATTGTTAGCCTACCAAATAAAACCCCCATAGTCCAATCATGCTGGTATGTGAACTCGGTCGAACAAATGTAGGTTCATACCATTCATTTTTGCTTGAGTTATTGTGCTAATGGACACATACCGGTATAGCCTCTATATACATATATATATATAAAATATATATGAATTTGAACGGATGGTATTTTTGGCATCTGGGACCTCCACCAAACGAAAAATTAAATCAGTCCCGGTCCAGGTCTTACCATGAGACCTACGATAATAGCTTATTTTCTCTATGGGAAATTCGCTAAAATGTTTGATGTTTGTTTGAAAGAACCCCACTCTTCCTGTCAAATGATTCTTCTGCTAAAAATAAGATTGTGTTTCAGTCTATTGTCATCTACGTTCCAATCCCACAACTGAAGTCGTTCCAAAAGGTTCAGATTCGGCTTGTCCGTGAATTGGAGAAGAAATTCAGTGCCAAGCATGTCGTCTTCATTGGGGAGCGCAAGATCTTGCCTAAGCCTACAAGGAAGACACGCACAAAAAACAAGCAGAAGAGGCCTAGAAGGTAGAGTAAAGTTGTTCTTTCATGGTGAGTTGTCTTTCTTTTGTGTTTCCGTGACCGAGGGAGACAACGATCATATCGAGGAAAATGTTCACGATTTTGACACGGTCGCTGACGACAATGATGACGTTTCTGTGTCCGTGGCAGTCAATGATGATGTCTACTTGGTCGTGGAAGATTTTCATCATCCTAAAAATCTAAATTGCCTAGTCAGAATTTTCCAGTGCTGCATTTTTTCTTTACTTGAAAAACACCCTATTAACTGAATCTTTATGACATAATGACAGGGGTTGGTGTAGAATTTGAAAATTTGGTTAAATTATAAAAATTGGTATCAAGATAGGAGACTCGATACATTTTTTTATGAACCCATCCCTAATTATTGTTGAAAAAAACTCATGAAATATCTGGAATTAGTCTTGAATTTTTAAATGGAAATAAACTCACTCTGTTTTCGTTTGCTGCACATAAGAAAGCCATGGAAAGTTAGTTTTCATGATTAGGCTGGCAGTCATTATTGAAGGGAATCGCACAAGCTATACATTGTCCTAGTGTTGCTAAGTTGTTTTTAGTTACTAAGTGTCAAGATGGACATGCAGTAAAGTTGTTTTTCCACAGTGAATTGCCCATTTGCATGTCAACACTAAGGGAGCAATACAATTAAATAAAAAAAACATGTTTTCACCTTGCATTAATTAACATAGGGATAGGCAGGACTTAAGATAGGGACAAACTTCTGCTTCCTTCCTGTGTTTTGTCTAAATAAAAAAAAAAAAATAAATAAGTAAAATGTTCTTTGCCATCATGACTGTAATGAGTAATCTATCTATCACAGCTCGCAATAATCTTTGTCTCCTGCTATCGCAGAAATATTATCGTCAACCCAGTGTTACAGTCTCCTCACACTAAGGACTATGGATCACACGAGTGACTTACCTAGCTGACTTGCCATTGACTAGCATTCTTTGCGACCCGACAATACACTGGTTCACACGAGCGACGAGTCCACGGACTAGATGAAAATATCGATATTAAAGCCACTCGGATCCATCACTGGCGCCTAATGAGAACAAAGGGAAGTATGCGAGCTGCAGCGCGACGACCGACCGCTCCAATAAGGCTACGTGTACTGCTACGCAGCTAGAGCGGGTGACTTGGCTGGGAAGCGGGGCCTGACGATGATTTGCGACACAAAGCTCGAACGTGGCTCGATCGCTGATCGCTCTACGCTCGTGTGAACAGCTCCATTTGATCCTGTGGTCTGCTACCTAGTCCTGCTTACCTAGTCACAGCCTAGTGAGCTAGATAAGTCGCTTGTGTGATCTGGGCCTAAATGTTAAAGGTTTGTTGGTATATAGAGGTGTGCTCGTCGGCGATTTGGGATCCAAAATAGCCAAGACACAGTCCGGCTGTGGCTGTGGCTCACTTAGCCACCTAATGGCAAACACTTCCTAGAGCTAGAGTGATCCGATCCATGGACTGGACACTCCCAGGCAAAGAGTTTTACTGGGACAGCCTTAATGGTGAAATCATACACATCTCCAGTAATCTTGGGAACATCATCATCCGTGTCCAACAATGGCAAAATGATGACCATCTCCCATCATTAGTGAAAGGAACCCAATGACAATGAAAGTATTTGCTTGCTATGTGTTCATCTATAAACTAAACTCTAATACATTGTCCTAGTGTTGCTAAGTTGCTTTTAGCTACTTGGTGTCAAGATGGACATATAGTAAAGTTGTTCTTCCACGGTGAATTGCCTGTTGGCATGTCATCACTAAGGGAACAAAACAATTATCCTGAAACCGAAAATCGCATTTGTTCCCTAACATTCATATTTTACTAGGGATGAACAATATTGTGCTTTTGGACCGGGATGTGACTTCTGGTACCTTCCTGGGTTTTATGAATTACGTAAATAAATAAATATTGTCATGACTAATCTGTGATCGCGACACTATCTTTATTGCCTCCAACTAATGCAGACACATTATCGTCATACTGGCAAAATAATAACCATCTCCAGTAATCGTGAGAACATCATCATCCGTGTCCCACAGGCGAAATGATGATTATCTCCCATTGGTGAAAGAAAACCAATGCCAATGCAAGTGTTTTCTATGTGTTTATCTATATCTAAACTCTAATACATTGTCCTAGTGTTGCTAAGTTGCTTTTAGCTACTTAGTGTCAAGATGGACATACAGTAAAGTTGTTCTTCCACGGTGAATTGCCTGATGGCATGTCATCACTAAGGGAACAAAACAATTAGTCTGAATCCGAAAATCGCATTTGTCCCTAGCATTCATATTTTACTAGGGATGAACAATGTTGTGCTTTTGGATCGGGATGTGACTTCTGGTACCTTCCTGGGTTTTATGAATTACGTAAATAAATAAATATTGTCATGACTAATCTGTGATCGCGACACTATCTTTATTGCCTCCAACTAATGCAGACACATTATCGTCATACTGGCAAAATAATAACCATCTCCAGTAATCGTGAGAACATCATCATCCGTGTCCCACAGGCGAAATGATGATTATCTCCCATTGGTGAAAGAAAACCAATGCCAATGCAAGTGTTTTCTATGTGTTTATCTATATCTAAACTCTAATACATTGTCCTAGTGTTGCCAAGTTGCTTTTAGCTACTTAGTGTCAAGATGGACATACAGTAAAGTTGTTCTTCCACGGTGAATTGCCTGATGGCATGTCATCACTAAGGGAACAAAACAATTAGTCTGAATCCGAAAATCGCATTTGTCCCTAGCATTCATATTTTACTAGGGATGAACAATGTTGTGCTTTTGGATCGGGATGTGACTTCTGCTACCTTCCTGGGTTTTATGAACTACGTAAATAAATATTGTCATGACTAATCTATGATCGCGACACTATCTTTATTTCCTCCAACTAACGCAGACACATTATCGTCATGCTGGTGAAATAATAACCATCTCCAGTAATCGTGAGAACATCATCATCCGTGTCCCACAGGTGAAATGATGATTATCTCCCATTTGTGAAAGAAAACCAATGCCAATGAAAGTGTTTTCTATGTGTTCATCTATAAACTAAACTCTAATACATTGTCCTAGTGTTGCTAAGTTGCTTTTAGCTACTTAGTGTCAAGATGGACATACAGTAAAGTTGTTCTTCCACGGTGAATTGCCTGTTGGCATGTCATCACTAAGGGAACAAAACAATTAATCTGAATCCGAAAATCGCATTTGTCCCTAGCATTCATATTTTACTAGGGATGAACAATGTTGTGCTTTTGGATCGGGATGTGACTTCTGCTACCTTCCTGGTTTTTGGGATGAGATTTTTTCTCCCATGTAACACGTAAAACCTCATTTGTTTTAAAATCCTAATTAAAAAATACTTTTAATGCATTAATGACAAATAAACACTGTTCTTTGACATCATGACTAATCTGTGATCGCGACACTATCTTTATTGCCTCCAACTAACGCAGACACATTATCGTCATACTGGTGAAATAATAAAAATCTCCAGTAATCGTGAGAACATCATCATCCGTGTCCCACAGGCAAAATGATGATTATCTCCCATTTGTGAAAGAAAACCAATGCCAATGAAAGTGTTTTCTATGTGTTTATCTATATCTAAACTCTTAATACATTGTCCTAGTGTTGCTAAGTTGCTTTTAGCTACTTAGTGTCAAGGTGGACGGACAATAAATTTGTTCTTCCACGGTGAATTGCCTGTTGGCATGTCATCACTAAGGGAACAAAATAATTAGTCTGAATCCGAAAATCGCATTTGCCCCTAGCATTCATATTTTACTAGGGATGAACAATGTTGTGCTTTTGGATCGGGATGTGACTTCTGCTACCTTCCTGGTTTTTATGAATTACGTAAATTAACAAATATTGTAATGACTAATCTGTGATCGCGACACTATCTTTATTGCCTCCAACTAACGCAGACACATTATCGTCATACTGGTGAAATAATAAACATCTACAGTAATCGCGAGAATATCATCATCCGTGTCCCACAGGCGAAATGATGATCATCTCCCATTAGTGAAAGAAAACCAATGCCAATGAAAGTGTTTTCTATGTGTTTATCTATAAACTAAACTCTAATACATTGTCCTAGTGTTGCTAAGTTGCTTTTAGCTACTTAGTGTCAAGATGGACATACAGTAAAGTTGTTCTTCCACGGTGAATTGCCTGTTGGCATGTCATCACTAAGGGAACAAAACAATAACTAAGCTAAGAAACATTATGTGTTGAGTTATTTCTGACTAACATTTGTGACATCTAGTATTTGGTTTTCAGCCGTACACTAACTGCTGTCTACGATGCTATTCTTGAGGACCTGGTCTACCCCGCTGAAATTGTAGGAAAGAGAATACAGGTGAAGATGGATGGCAAACAACTCATCAAAGTCCACTTAGATAAGAACCAGCAAACTAACATCGACCACAAGGTAAATTTCAGTCTTGTACGTTGCAGGTCTACTGCTGCATTTAATAACTTAGGTAGAAGTTTTTTTAATTGAGCAGTTTTATATTTTTCAGTACAGATTTTTCATTTGCACATGTTTATGCCTATTTTAAAATGTTGAGTTATAGTTGAATTATTATTAGTTATAGGCTAGTATTATATATTATAAGTTATATAGTTTAATTTATACATTGTACCTTGTTATCAGATGATGTTGTAAACCAACCGTCCTAGTGTTGCTGTATAGTTATTAACTATTCAGTGTCTTTTTGGACAAACAGTAAAGTTGTTCTTCCACGGTGAACAGCCTTTTGGAATTTCATCACTAAGGGAACAAGACAGCCAGTTTTTAAAACTTGTTCAATGCAGGCTCTTTGAAGAACTGTCAGATATATGTAATTCTTTTCAGAAATTAATTGTTAGCTCTTTAAAATCCATATGTTGCAAAACTTGAACATACTGTAGTTAAATTGTTACAACTTTGATATCTAGCTACATGCTTTCATCTCCAATTCCACCTTACAATTTGCTATTAGATGTTTTTTAGCAACCGTCCTTGTGTTGCTGTGTAGTTCTTAACTATTCAGTGTCATTTTGGACGAACAAAAATGTTGTTCTTCCACGGTGAATTGTCTTCATGGCATGTCATCACTAAGGGAGCAAAACATCCAATCTTAAAAATGTTTTAAAATGTTTTTGCTGACTAAGTACTGTTTGTCCTCTGGCTGAAATCCCTTCTTGACCAATATATAGAAATGTTGTGGCACATTATTGCTGATTCTATTTTAACAAATTATCAATAGATAACTGGCTAAAATGTTACTAATGATTGTCGAGTCATGTACCACTCGTCTCCCTTTATGATAATAGACCTCTCTGTAATATGAATAACAATTAGTAGGCTACCTGTGTGACATTCCGACTCTGTTTTAAACCAAGCCAAATTAATTTTTTAGTGATATTCTTTCTCATTTAAGTCATAAAAAATTCTTTTACCAGTGGGTTGAAACCCGGTGTGTGATTCGTGTTCCTAGTGATGATTCTGTGTCATGCACCACTCATATTTATCTGTGATGATTGACCCTCTTTAACTGAAGGAACAGTTTCTTATAAATACAATATCATCGACACACATCACACATTTAAGCAACAATAATATTGCACTGATGGTACAGTTGCCAAAGAAACATCTTTTGTTTCTGAGGGCATTTAAGCTACGATTTTGATAGTGTATCTTATCACGGCACATCTGTTATTACTATCAATGTTGAAGATTTTCTTTATCTATAAGATAGTAGCAAACATAACTGATGATGATTTTGAGTCATGCACCACTCATATTTTTATGTGCTGAATTGACCACTTATATCTGAAGTTTTTTTACCCAGCCCTCTATTCAGCTTGTCATAGGCCTATTTAAGTTATGAATGCAAATTGACTTTACACTCAGTTAGACACGGGAGAGGGGTGATACCTTTTTGTTGAAGACAGAAGCACTTCTATGGTTTTAATTTAATTTTGTTAATTCAAATAAACCAAAAATGGTTATTTTTAATTTTTCTTGCAAATTATACTTAATCATACAATCTCAAGAGTTGTAAATGTCAACTGATGATGATTTTGAGTCATGCACCACTCATATTTTATGTGATGAATTGACCACTTATATCTGAAGTTTTTTTACCCAGCCCTCTATTCAGCTTGTCATATTTAAGTTATGAATGCAAATTGACTTTACACTCAGTTAAACACAATAGAGGGAAGAGATATTTTTGTAAAAGACAGAAGCACTTGTGTGGTTTTTTAAACTAATTCAAATAAACTAGTAAAAAATAGAAATTAGTAACTTATATTTCTATTGCAGATTATACTTAAGCATACAACCTCAAGAATTGTAAATATCTGAGTTGTAAACTGATGATGATTTTGAGTCATGCACCACTCATATTTTATGTGATGAATTGACCACTTATAATCTGAAGTTTGGCTGAAACTTTACTATTCAGCCTTCCATGTTAAATTAAAATTAAAATTTGTATTTCTATTAGGATTCAACTCAGTTTAAAAGTTTTACTTGTTTGTACCAAATTTCATCGAAATCGGATCATTTTTGCTCGAGTTATCGCACTAACGGACACGTATATTTATGAATTTTAACGGAGGGTGTTTTTGGCCTTTGGGGACCTCAAAATGAAAAGTGTCCCGGGTCTATGTCTTACCATGAGACCTACGGTAATAGCTTATTCCCTATAGGGGTAATTCGCTAAAAATGGGAAATTTGTTTTGTTCGGTGGCCGAACATGAGAGGAATCCGCACGCCCGACCAAGGTTATTGATTGTCTCATAGAGAAATCTATGTAAACAAAGTCTTACATCATTTTCAGTCAAAACCAAGACAAATGTGTTTGTCAAATTGGGCCATCGAATAACATATTCATAGCACTGAACTATTAAAAGAAGTTGTAACATTAAAGTTTCTTTTGAAAAGGTATTTTACATTATTACTGTCCTTTGAAATAGTCAACTTATATATATATATATTTTTGGTAGCTAAATGGTTTAAGTTACCTGGCTTCGTCATATGTATTTTTTTCAACTGTTACTCTTTAAATTCAGGATAAGAGTAATCCAGCTAAGGCTTGTACAATACTTCTGCTTTAGACCGTTTCTAATAAGGAATAATAAGTAATGCATTAATGCATTATAGAAACTTGTTATAAAGTAGAAACATTCAGGTTTATTTTAAAAACGTAATCATTTGAATAAAAATTTAATATTAGTACTAAAAGTATTTCTGTACTTCAAATAAAAAGGTAATACATTTCAACGTTCAAATTCTTATAGTCAAAGGGTCTGATATGATATTTTAATGAAAAACATTCTAATGGCTTCAAAATCGGTTTTATTTTTAAGTGAATATTCTTGAGTCAACCCCTAGTTTTTTACCTCTAAACTTTGGTTAATAAGAGTTAAAAACGGCCTAAAAATGTGTCGTTCAACATTTAAGTTTTAAACAATTTCCGGGTAAGGGCCCCCAGCCCCCCCCTTTGACCTATCCTAGATCCGCTACTGGAAGCCTTCAATTTATGTTATAAATAAATTTTTAGTCCTAGGTCAGTCCAAGTTTTGAAAAGATGAGATCTTTTTGTAAATAAATAGGTACCTTTTTCTGACTGATGATGATTTTGAGTCATGCACCACTCTGATAAGTGATGATTGACATATTTTATCTGAAGTCCCACTTAAATCCATGTTAAAAATTTAACTTTAATTTAGTTTTACACAAAAATTACTTTCCTGATAGAAAAACGAGAACATAATTCTATAGCTTAGTATCAGACTCTAAATCATTAACAACTGTAATACATTTTGTTTCAAGAAACCAATAATCCGATCTAATGAATTTTGTCAATGATCCGATCCATTCAATTCTTAACAAAAAATAAAATTGTGTAGCCCCTACAGCAGTATCAGATGTAAAAGAAATGTACACTGTTTTATCCGGGTATAGAAGATGAAATGACAACTTAGCCATTAACGCTGCATGGGCCGTTTGTGGTATCGTTAACGTAAGCTTTACAACATGATCAAAGTTAAACATTATTTTTTTTTTTTTTATTATGACCCTCAGCATAATTTTATGAATTTGCATACATTTTCTCTTTAGGGTAACTAGTTGGGCCCAATTGGTGAACAGGAGGAATGCTAACAAACGACATGATGCACCAGGATGGATTCAATATCAGCTGTATTGTTGATGGTTCATTCCAAGGTGCTAAAGGAAACTTCCTTCAGACACCTTGTCACCTTTTGGAACTCAAGGTCGTGAAAGAGAAGAACATGTCTAGTATTTTTTTTTAATTCAAATAAACCAAAAATGGTTATTTTTTATTTTTCTTGCAGATTATTCTTTAGTATGCTACCTCAAGAGTTGAAAATGTTACTGATGATGATTTTGAGTCATGCACCACTCATATTTTTATGTGCTGAATTGACCACTTATAATCTGAAGTTTGGTTGGAAACTTTACTATTCAGCCTGCCATGTTGTATTAAAATTAAAATTTGTATTTCTATTACGATTCAACTCAGTTTAAAAGGTATACACGTTTGTACCAAATTTCATCAAAATCGGATCATTTTTGCTCGAGTTATCGCGCTAATGGACACACATATGTATGAATTTGAACGGAGGGTGTTTTTGGCCCCTTGGGGACCTCAAAATGAAAAAGTAAATCATTCTAATTTGCCTTTTGTGGTATTGTTATTGTAAGCTTTTCAACATGATCAAAGTTAAACATTATATTTTTAAATTATACCCCTCAGCATAATTTTATGAATGTGCAGACATTTTCTCTTTAGGGTAACTAGTTAGGCCCAATTGGTGAACAGGAGGAATGCTAACAAACAACATAATGCACCAGGATGGGTTCAATATCAGCTGTATTGTTGATGGTTCATTCCAAGGTGCTACAGGAAACTTCCTTCAGACACCTTGTCACCTGTTGGAACTCAAGGTCGTGAAAGAGAAGAACATGTCTAGTATCAAAGCCTTTATAAAAACTAAACCGCCACTTTTAATCATGATCATATTAACGTACAATAACATAAATGTATCCGACTCTGCACTAGTTATTCCAATGTATTTTTAAGAATTGTGATCAAGACAAAGATATATGACGCTATGATAGGCGCTATGATATTAAGTACAAGGCAGGCTGAATAAGTGGGGTGAAGTGTAGTTTAGTTTATACAAAGTCAGTTTTGTGTGAGATTTTTAATGGGAAATGCACTGACACAAGTCCGAAGACGTACTAATGTCATTATCGGTCCACAACAGTGCCACACAAATAGCTCTGGCTTCAGGTAAGCAACTTTTGTTGCTTTTTCTGTGGCTATCGCTAACAGCTTAGAAAGTATATTTATTTGCCCTTAACTTAAATTTTACATAGTAAGAACGTCACCTAATGTAGCCATTGTTTGTGTTTCAGCTGGACACATTTGCTTCAGTCTACAAGAAGTTGACAGGGAGGGAAGTGAAATTCGAGTTCCCAGAACCGTACTTGTAAAGTTTTTTTTATCACATTAACATGTTAAAATAAAAACACCTGTGGTGGACTTTTGATCTGTTTATTTACCACTCAAACTTCCATCTAGTAAAGCACGACCACACTAGCGCGGACGATCACTATGTGCGACATCCAGCCTCCCCAAAAATGAATCCCTCCGTTTGAGTTACATAGCTTCGTCCAAAGTGTGGACACACCGATGTGTCCGGCAGCTGTGTAGTACCCTGATGGGTCGAGATCCCGCAAGGCTCAAAGGACGTTCCACGACTGACGTCCTGCACTGTCTGTGACAGTTTTATAGTTGACGGTATATATAGTCAATGGTACTATACATCTAACATAGCCATAATGTTCTACCACTTCACCGAAACAATAGAGAAAAATAAATTATTAAAGTTTTGCAAAATATCACAAATTATTCATGGTCATAAAACTCTTCAATTAACTTATTTGTATAATCCTAAGCAAGTCGTAAAACTCTTCATATAAAATCAAATGATTCTTTATTCATTTTGTACAGAATATACATGAATAGTGTCAATACAATAGTCGTTACAAAACAAAGATCTTACTTTACAAGTCTCTGTAAAATCATTTTATTTACCTTATAACAGCATTTATTGGCTAAAAACTTAAATAACTGCTTTTGAAACTAATTGAGGGAAGCTGCAGATTTAATCGGAAGGTTATTATAAAACTTAACTTGGGATAGTGGGGAGAAGATTCCAAAATTGAAGATTTGTGCTTAAGGTATAAAATACAGCTTTTGTGTCGGGTATTATAATTATGATTACGGATTAAATCTCGTAAGGTGTTCACTGTTCAGTATTGATTTCAGAATCTTGACAATACTGATACATCTACCATGACTAAAATTTAACATTTCTTATAAGCTAAACTTTATTTGAATATCCAATATTCACGACGTACCTGAAATGAAATATTTTATATGTTGCCTCACTTAACAATCCGACGTGGTCTATTACTGTATTTCATGCTCAATGACCAAATAAAGGAATCTAGAATTTTGAAAATAAATACAGTAGAACCTTCATAACAATACTGTCATAGGGATTGTAAAATAAACGTGTACTGGTGAAATTACCTGCTGTCAAGTGATCCATTTGACCTTGAAAGGCGACCGGTTTCGATCCTCACGGGATCATCTTCAGGCGGACGTCGTCATCGTCTTTTCGTTCTTGCGTACGAAAAATATGTTTCCGTGAGGATCGAAACATTGACCGTGATGTCGCCTTTCAAGGTCAAAAGGATCACTTGACTGCAGGTAATTACTAATTTCACCAGTACAAGTTTTGATCAGTGATTCTTAACTCAAACAAAATATAAAATAAAACTTGTTATCAAGGTTGACTACTTATCGAGGTTGGTAATAACATGTGATTAGGGGTAAAATAATTATAAGTGGATTTGAAAATTACACTTGTTATCAAGGGTGACTTGTTATCGAGGGTCTTATCAAGGTTCCACTGTTAATTCATAAACATTTTTTTATTGGATAGGACTATTTGATAGAAAAAGTGGAGAAATCTGAACCAGCATGAAAAATTTGCCTGAGTTATCTGGCTAAAATCTATTTTAAATTATTAGCTGGGTCAGGGAAGTACTGCAGGCTCTTGACCAACCAATCACTACATGATCATTTCCATTTGTAATCTTAACCAACTCAGGGAACAAATAAATGATTCAGTTTTGTAAAGGGTAAGTTTTATTATATATACTTGTACAATATTTATATAATATTATTCGGGATATGTCATTAATATTTTTTAACGATAGTATTTACTTGTTACAATGGTACACTACAAGTAAATACAACGGGTGTCAAATCTTCACAAGTTAAATGCACTTTTATACATAAAATATTTACAAACTACCTGAGTTAAAGCATTTAAGTTCAGTTGCAATCACTTGTTTACATACCGGGTTTAAGTATGGCACTGTCATAAAAATATATGTTAACAAACAAGTTTTGTAAAAGTATAAGTATACACAGCTAGAGAAGATTAAAGATACAAAATAAAATAAATTTTTCCTTAAAAGCATATCTAGAAAGTATACATATTCAAGAGGACTTTCCCACACATGGTGGATGGCTTGGGTAATTTATTTGCAAGTTGCACCCTTAAATATGAGGTTATGTTAATATCAATTATCAATTATTTAAGATGGGGACGCCACTATGTGCGTATTTTAACCCAAATATGAGTGAAGGATGAGTGGCGCGATCTTGTAGTCTTGTTAGTGACTAAGGCCGACATGTTCCTTAGACACAGCTGTTAATTAATAGCCCATACAGCTAATGGCAACTAAGGGACCTACAGTTTATAGTGGAATCCGAACCACATTTTTGCTTGTAATTTACGAATTGGTCTAATTATCAGGATAGTACTGCGGATAGTCGTAGTACTCACTAGTGCGGACGTTAATCCACACCAGGGAGCATCGCATCCACAGTGCATTCCTATAAATATCCACAATTCGTGACCTCCCAGTAGCTGGATTACAGGACGACGCCACCCGTCCCAGACTATTACCCATCCATACTATGTGAGTTCACCAAAATCTTGGGTTATAATATTGGAATTTTTGTATTCATAAGTTTAAGAAAGGCAGAGGATACGCGTCCGGTAACCGGACGTGGATTAGACGTCCGGCAATTACTGTCATAACCTAACCTAACCAACCAAACTTGCTGATAGTGAAAAAATCGAATTAAGGTGAAATTCTTTCTCTATAAAAAAAAATTATAAATGCCAAAAATTCTAATAAAAGATGTACAGTTAAGAATAAATGGTATTCAATGCAAACTCTACGACAAAAAGTTAAAGTCATCAATGGGATTCGAACCCTGGACCTCTTGCATATCAGCCGAGCACCTTATCCACTACACCACGAACACCGATGGCTGGTCATTGTATTGTTGTGGTAAAGGCGTTCAAGGCTCCCGCAACCCCATGACGTCATTGCCGTACGCCTTATCCACGTCCGGTTACCGGACGCGTATCCTCTATGTTTAAGAAAAACAAATCATGGGGCTTTAGGGGTTGATTTAGCAAATTTCGTTAAGACCTACGTCCGAACCTTACTTTTATGTCCCCAGAGGACAAAAACAAGCATTCAATATGTATACATATTTATATAGCTGTGAAGGCAAAAGGCAAGCTGCAGCGGCTTGGAGCTAACAAGATCAATTTGTTCAGCAAATTTTCTTAGCCCCGGGGTTAGATATGAATAATAATAAATATAATAATATTCAGGGTGCTCAGTAGTACTTTATTTACTACTATAATTAAATATATATATGTGTGTCCGTTAGCATGATAACTCGAGCATATAATCAGATTTTGATGAAATTTGGTTAGAAACGTGTAAACCTACATTTATTCAAACGATTTCGCGAACCAGCATGATCGGGCTATGGGAACAGGGTTTTATGGGGTAAAAATAGGTTTTTCCCATTTTTGACCCTAAAAACACAAAATTTCACAATTTCTTTCCAAACCATTTTGTAGAGCTTTAAAAAAACAATTTTGTATATTGAAGTGTTGTTGTTTGCCTAACGGTTACAGAGATAATTAAACTTAAAATTCCCATGTTATTCTTATGGAGAATAAATTAACTGTTGAGTTTGCTTGTGTATGGATATTTTAAACAAATTTGGCAATTTTGTTTATTTCATACTAAGCTATGGAGAATAAATTCCAATAAAAACACACCTCAATACCTTCTCTGTATAAGCAAACCTATGTACTCATTAAAATTAATGTTATTTAAATAGGAAAATATTAAAATTTTAAGTGAATATTTTTGTAGAAATCCAGGCTGGATAATGGAAATTCGCTTAGTCTGCAGGTTTGCTGCAGCGGGGGTATTTTGTTATTGTTTTCAGTTTGCAAAATGGATGAGGAACTATTTGATTTAATGTTTGGACTGCAATTTAGGTTGTGGTTGTGGTATTTGTCTTTCTGGTTCCACAAAGCCACTTTCTCACACACTAATTCCATCAACTACTTTCCTTTGTCAACCATTTTAGCACAATCTTAAAAACAAACAGACAAAATAAATAACCTCAACCATGCACTAACCTCTGTCAAAGTTTCAAAATTCAAAGCGACTGGGTCTCTGGGTCTGGTCTGATCGCGTGAAAAAAGATTCGTTTCCGACAAGCTCAGACCCATTCCTCCTTTCTGACACTACAATCAGTGCCAGTGTAGGAGAGGAGACAGCGCTACATGTGTTTGTTTCCGGTAGACTCAGACGGACCCACTCCGTCAAATTCTGCTTCCAATGTAGGCGCGCCTTAGCCGACTAATACAATCACAACCAAGCCACATAGGTATCTCACTTATCCTACAGTCATGTTTCATTCATATTTGGGTTTAAAAACAACTAAGTAGTGTCCCAATCCATAGCCTACTCTAATACAAGGCCGTGGCGAGACAAAAGTGGCAACACCACTGTCCCATCAAACCAAAACAGCTGTTGCACTAATTTATAAAAGACAGTACAGTAGACTTCCTCTTATCCAGACTCCTCAGGACCGAGGCCAGTCCGGATAACGGTTTTTTCGGTTAAACCGACGACCCCAAAATCTCATTAAAACGGATCGTTTAAATGCATACTCTATACAGTATTTGACTTAAAATTAGGAGAGCATTGTATTTAGACACGTAATCACTGGTCTCAAATCTTTCCCACGAGAACAGTCCTTTCAGTACCACCCACTTCCTGCCGATCTAGTCCGGTTAAACCGATGTGCTGATAAAAATTATCCGGATAAAGAGATGTCACTTCTACCGAGTGTGGTCCGGTTAAACCAATGTCTGGATAAGAGGGAGTCTCCTGTATAGGAAATGTTTATGTTTAATAAGACCAATGTTAAAATTTAAAAACTTTGAATTGATTTTAAATTATATAGGTGTTATTACAAAACTGAAATTGTTTCGTCTTAGACCTTCCAAACATTTGTCGAAACAACCTTGGTAAGTTTGGCTAAAATATGTTCAGCCGTTATCGAGTGATAGTGTTAAAAAGTTTGCATTGAAGCCGACCCCAAAGAACTTCGCTTCGCTCCGCACAAAATATTGCAAAAGACTGCACATTTTTACAAAAATAAAATAAATTTTAAAGTGAACTACCGGTATAGCTTAAATTAATATCCTAGTGAAAATAAAGCTTATAATAAAAAATATAATCTTACTTTACAAAGCTATTGAGGCTAAATAATTTTGATTATTTGCCATCCAACAACCTCTAATATAAAAAAACCTTTAAAACTAATACAAATAAATTCTGTAATGTTAAAATAAATTGGCATGATCCATGCAATGCCTAAATAAATAACTATGACCGTTTCAGATAGGATAGTGAAATTAAAATTTAGAATACAGTAGAACCCTTCATAAAAAAGATAAACAAAGTCATAGTAAAAGAGAAAAAAGTGTTGAAACAGTTATGCAATAATCTTTTGTTGGTTTGATAATCCATGGGTGTCCATCAATATGGGAGACCCTTTGGTACCCTTCTTAACCACATTTTTAATATTTTAAAACCAATGAATAAAATAAATTGACCAAGCATATATCGGTACAAAAATGCATACAGACATAAGAGGGGAGACCCTTTGGTACCCTTCTTAACCACATTTTTAATATTTTAAAACCAATGAATAAAATAAATTGACCAAGCATATATCGGTACAAAAATGCATACAATCAACAATTGTGTACCTAAATTTTAAACATTTTCCAGAACCCTCTCTTTTAACTGGGGCCTTACCGTATGCAATGGTTAAATGGACACCTATGAATGGGACTAGATCATATTTCTTTTAAATATGAACAATGATTGTTGTTAGAAGACAGTGTCACGATTGGGTCAAGGGTTTGAGTTAGGGCATAGATAAAACATAGTCCCTTAGTAGATTTCCCATCCTTATGGAACAGCTGAAGCCAATTTTATTGTTAGTTCTGTCCGGGTTTCTGTTGATGTTGTGTTTTGTTTACAATTTGTTTCTTGTTATTTCAGTAATTTAAAACCTCGTTTAACCAAATAAAACTATCTAATCATAAACAGTAACTCGTCCACTAGCTATATAACCAAACAGCGAGACACAAATAATGAGAAACTAACCCTACAATAAAAGAAACAATTTGCAAATAAAACATGACATCTACAGAAAACCGGACAGAACTAACAATAAAATTGGCTTCAGCTGTTCTATAAGGATGAGAAATCTACTAAGGAACTATTTTATCTATGGTTAGGGTCAGTTGTTATAAGATCAAATATTATGAGGGATTCTACTGCACTAAAATTAAAACTAAATAACAACTATTAGCGCCAACTAATGTAGCATAAGTATCACAGAAAGCTTTAAAAATTAAAAAAAAGTTATCAATAAGGTTATGACTCATGAGTAATACTATGTTTCTTAAGATACTCCATGTTCAAAAAACTCTTCCCACAAACGTGGCATGCCACAGCATTTCCTCTTGCATGTATTGTTTGATGTCGCCTCAGCGAAGCATTTTTCAAAAATGCTTTGTTGCACGTCGGGCATACAAAGGGCTTAACTCCTGAATGGATAGGGATATGATTTTTTAAATGTGATGAGCTTTTAAAACATTTAAAACATTCTGGACACTCATAAGGCCGTGCTTCAGTGTGAGTGAGTAGATGTCTCTGAAGAAACATTTCCTGAGAGAAAGATTTGTCACAGATCTCACATTGGAACGAATGCTCTCTGTCATGACTGAGCGAGTGCTCTTGAAGATGAATAGCGTGGGTAAAGCGTAAACCACAGATTGCACAAGTGTACTGTTTGGTACCGTTTATCTTGGCTAAGAAGTCCTTAGATCCATCGGCATGAGATGTTCTGATATGTGTGTCTAGTTCGCCCGAATTTGCAAATGTTATTTCGCACACCTGACAATGAAATGGAGGGCCAAGCATGAGTCTGTTCGAAGGGTTCGGTTGCTTGGAATGTGTTAATGTATGCTTCTTTAGATTAGAAGAATCAGCAAACGCCAAACCACAAATTGTGCAAGCAAAAGGGCGAGCTCCAGTGTGAGTTAGAACATGTCTTTTGACATCTGAAGGCCTGGTGAATGCTTTTTTGCAGATATTGCAAGGGAAGGGCCGTCGACCTGTGTGAGTAATCATGTGGTTTCTCAGGTTACTTGAGTTGGAAAAATTCATTCCACACTGAGGACATGTAAACGGACGCTCACCAGAGTGAGTCAAAGTGTGCCTCTGAAGCTCTGAAGGTTTGCTGAAAGCTTTTTCACACTGGGTACAAGGGTATGGCAATCCACCGGTGTGCTTCAACTGATGAATCTTCAAGTTGTAACCGGTGGTAAATGCCATCGGACATAAGTTGCACTTAAACGGCCTAGCGCCACTATGAATACAGGAGTGACGTTCCAAATCTGCAGATCTACGAAATGATTTTTCACAAACCGAACAAGGATGCGGCTTAACATCAGAATGGGTCATAAGGTGCATTCTTAAATTACTCTGGTTTGTAAAACTCATCTCACACTCCACACAAGTGAAGGGGCGTTCCCCAGTGTGAATGACAGAGTGCCTGTTCAAGTCAGAAGGTCGGCTGAATGTTTTTCCACAAGTTCCACAGACATTCTGGGATGATCCGGTGTGTTTGAGTGAGTGAGCTTTCAAGTCAAACTTACTTTCCAAAGCTAAACCACAGGTGTCGCAAGAAAACAATTCTCTTTTCGGCTCTTGGTTATGATTTAAGTGAGGTCCATCGTTAATATATTCCTTATTGCAATCAGAGCAGTTACTGGATGAATAGTCATCGTGGGTTTTTGCATGTTCTTTTACTTCATCAGCAGTATTGAACGTAACATTGCACTCTAAGCAGGAGTATCTTCCAGCATGGATGAGTTCGTGTCGCCTCAAATCTGAAGGCTTTACAAATCCTTTCCCACAAGTATTACAAAAGGATTTGGATCTTGTGTCACCAGTATGGGAAAAAGAATGAATTTTTAAGTTATGTGTATTTGCAAAGTGTTTACCACAAAACTCGCAGCTTATTTGGCCTCGATGAACCGAGCGTCTGTGGCTCATTAGCTCGAGAGAGGTTGAAAATCTCCTCTTGCAGACTGAGCATTCAACACCGGAACCATTAGAAGAATTATGTTCATCTTCATCTGAGTAAACAGCTTCAGCGACTGGTGATTCCGTTTTCTCTTGTGTGTTGATATAGTTTGGTAAAGTGCTCGAGAGTTCTGGATAAGATGGGTGCACAAAACTGCTTGATATAATTTCAAAGTGAGGTGATGAAGGCTGCATTATACGGTTGATGTGTGGGACTGTTCGCCTGTGGGTCGCCAACTCGGCAGCATTATTGAATTTTATTTCACACCCAGAACAAAAGATTTTCATGTCACTAGAGTTGTGTTCTTCATCGTCAGAGTACACAGCTTCAGCAGCAGGGGCTTCTACTTTGTTTTGTGTGTTTTTGAAGGTTTGAATGTTACAAGATTCTGACACAGGTGGGTCATTCTTCTCCTGAGAGTTGTTGTACGTCTGGATGGTACAGCTGGGTGTTTGGTAGGTGGGGCTTGACTGGTGATGGTTGAAGCTATCACTCAACATGCTGAACTGTGAGCTGGACGGCTGACAGGACGACTGCATGATGTGACTCAAGGCCTCTAGACTGACTCCCCTTAGGGCTTCCTCCTGGTTCATCTGTGACAGATCACGTTCACATTAAATTACAATACCAAATAAATATAACTCAAAGACTAGACCAAATTTATCGGATGACCAAATTCAAGATACTTTACTGTAGGCCTACTTTAAACGTGAACATAAATTGTAGTGGCTACCATGAACATAAAAACAGGAGACAAGAAATAATAAGTTTAGATTATAACATCACAATGTTTTAATTTCTATTGTGACTGTTCAATATGTTGAGTTCAAGTAGTTTATGGTACCACCAACCATTTTATATGGAGCTTTATATTTTTGACAACCAACATGATATATGGAACTGGAAATGTCCCTGAACTGGTAAGCAATGGTTTATTTTTATTTTCTAATAATTCCATATGGTTTGCTTTTTCTAATAAAAACCCAGCAGACTTTTTTAGAAAGTCTTTTTTCAGTGACCTAGGTTTCAGCCACATCGTCATGTGCTATGATCAGACTCCAGTGCAAAATGTATTTAGTCCATTGGACGCTAAGTCAAACGCATTTCCGGGCTCACTCTTGTATTAACCCAGCTGAAATGGGTTACATTCTAAAGAGAATCAGAAACTTCATTCTCTATTATTCAGGGTTATAAAAAAAAGAATGGTGCAAAACTAAATGGTTGGTACGTCCGTTTCCGTGATTTCGGTTATGTTTTGTCTCAGTTACTTAGTTGAGTACGGTAACACGAAGCTTGTCAACAAATGGCTACTAAAAAAGAAGAACAATCATTTTATCTTTTAGAATTTGCTCGTACTAATGCTATCGTTAATATACAGCGGAACTTTCAGACCAAAATTAGGAAGGAGACTCGTCATTGGCACTGCATAGCTCGTTGGATGAGGTAATTCAAGACAACTGGATGTTTGTGTGCCAGAAAGAGTTTGGACCGTCGTAAGACTTCGCCAAACGCTGTGGAGAGAATCGAAGTCTAAAAACCTCCACAGTCAAAGCTGTTAGGAAACTTCACGTACCGCAGTCCACGATTTTACGTAAGTGTTTGAAACAAAACCCCTATAAACTGCAGTCATTATAAGCATTGAAGTTTACTGACAAGCCAAAACGCACATATTTTTTGCCATGAAAGCTTTGATTCTTGTTGATATTCTTCGATTTAGTTGACAGGCTTCCTGGTACAGTACTAAACTAAGCAACTGAGACAAAACATAACTTTGTAAAACAAACTTATTGTTATGAGAAAGACTTAGTAAACTATAAGTATATGGTTTTTATTCATTCAAAATTACAACCATGTTTTAGTTAAGAACAAATACAATGTTTACAAACAAATAAACTAATAAAAATTATCAGGTGATAATTTTCACATCACCACACTTATAAACACACTCTTTCCATTGGTGTAGCAATCGGCTATTTAAAATCACGGTATCAGATGTAAGAACTGTTTATTTTTGCACCATTCTTTTTTAATAGCCCTGTATTATTAAAGAATTACAGTCAAATTTGTGGTCATCATTTAAGGCCAACTGAATAAAAATATAGGCATATGGCTTATCAAAATGAAGCTCAGTGTGTGTAGATTTGCTGAAAAGTATTGGTATGAATGAATTCCCTCAAGGCTCTGTCCCACAGGCCGATTTCTAAAAGTCTACGTCTTGCAAGCTTCAACGTTTAACTTATATTAATAATGTAATAAAACAGCTGGTAGTTGCAATTATTATATAGATGTATAGTTTTTTTCTAAAGTACATAATAGATTTGTAACTATTTCATTCAGCAGGTCCAAAGAACAGCATTTTTCTCTTTCCCATACTCCCCCCGTTGCGAAGCACGGGTATAACAGCTCATATAATTTTATTAAGTTAAATAAACCCTTAAAGCACAAAAATACTGAGTCGATTGCTCAGTCGGCAGCACTAGCACTACGGACTTCGGATCCAAGGCAGCGATGTCGTGGGTTCAAATCCTGGTACCTCTACTACTTTTTATTACCGTAGTCCAGTTGGATGCATTGCACGACGTCCAAGTGCCACGACGTCCAATAATATTTATTCAGTGCCACGACGTCCAAAACATAATTTTTGAGTTGTTGCACGACGTCCAAGTGCCACGACGTCCAAAAGTACAGTAACTGCCAAAAATATAGCCTTTATACAAGCTTTGGACGTCGTGACACTTGGACGTCGTGAAACAGCGCACTATAGAATTGTAAAAAAGTTACATTTGCGGGAGTGTTGCACGACGTCCAAGTGCCACGACGTCCAATAAATATTTGACTGTTGCACGACGTCCAATATAGCTCAGCGCTGTTGCACGACGTCCAAGCTCCTTCATGATGACCGGTTACGATGACCGGCTACTTGCCGAATAGTGTTCTCTCGTGTAAAATGCTTATGGAACGTTTATTAGTTATATATACATTGGTATATGATCTTGTTCAGAAATATATATACTATGAATATTTGAACCATTAATTGAAACATCATAAAGTAAAAAAAACATAAAAAAATAAACAAGGCAACAGTTGGAAAACTATAAGGTTTACATGGTTTGAAAAATGATGACATTTTGTTAACAACCGATCAACTTCATTATGTTTGGAGTAAGCTTTTAAATACTTATTTTTTCAAGACTAGATGAATGTACATTGATCAACATGATCTTTGAAAACTATTTTTATACCCTCATTTTAATTTTTACTAGTATAAAGAATAGAATGCCTTTTTCGAACTGTTTTTTAGGCTTCAATTAAATGTCTATATGTCGCAAATATGTTTATTAATAGTATTCACTTAACATTGACTTAATTTCATTTCAATAAATTTTGTGTTTGTGTTTTGCTACACCACTTATTAAATTGCAACCAATGAGAATATATATATATAAATAAAATTGGAGTTTTGTCTGTACATTGCTCAGAATCATTCATTTGTAGGTTATTTTTACGTTTTATACATTAAAGAAGCCGAAACAAGTCTCATCTAAATTTCTGTCTGTCTGTCTTTCTGTCTTTCTGTAACACTCAAGATGGCATTTTACGCAATCTTCTCCAGGAAAACGAGAGTACCTATCAAGATCCAAGTCATTTTAATGTATTCACTGGATTGGCGAGAGTGTCTTTAGCCATTAAAATATGGCCTCACTACTTAGTAAATAATATTACGGACTTTAAAAAATGCAGTTTTGTGCGATTTTTGTCAAGTTTTCGTCCAATTTTTATCACATAATGATCTATGAAATAACGAACAGCTGTTCGGATCAAGATTATTTTACAAATACCACAACCATTTCCGATCACGTTTTGAAGGCAAAGCCCATTTATCTAAGTGAGATTAAAATCGTTGTCTTACATAACGGATTTAATTAACCGCAAGTGGAATAATATAGTGTAACCGTAAATGAAATTTAATAACATCATCCAGGTTAGGAACAAGAGATTCTTTGTGTATAAAATTGTTCTTGAGTTTTGATAACCTTGAATCAGTGTTGTATAGGGCTGGGAAACTTGAATTTATTAATGATCGTCGCCAATACCTTACTAACTCATTGACGGCCCTTCAATGGTGGTTGTGTAAAGTGTAAAGTGTAAAGTAAAAAATCACAACTGCAGTGGGTGATTGTAACAGAGGTTTACGGTTTATGGATGATACTAAACTCGCTTTTCCAATGTGTCACTTTCTGTTCCTACTCACCGTATGATGCAATCGCTGGACCATACAGCCAATAGGCCCATAGCCCATCTCTTGGGTACTTACGCCTACCCAATTATTCATAACAACCTTTTCGACGACGATCCTTGTTACCGGTACTTTTCCCTAGAATACACGGCCTCCCTATTTAAGAAATAAAATTACAAACGTCCAAAAACCCAGCATTGCGTGATTTTTGTCACATTTCATTCTAATGTTAAAAGATATACCAATCATTGTTTAGAGAATAGGCCTGCGTAATCTATTAAATAACAAACAGTTGTTTTTATAAGGTTGTTTTTTTTGTTTACTGAATAAGTTTACATTAAAAGTTGTTTACGAATAAAGCAATTATTGGGAAATAATTTTGATTGCCGATAACTTTTCACGAGAAATCCAAAACCAAGAAATCAATAACCTTGGGACTTGATTAACGCATTTAATTTGTCGGACGTAATTCTTAACTGTAAACGTTGGTTTTTGGTACTGGTTTTAGCGAATTTCCCCATAGGGAAGTAGCTATTACCGTAGGTGGCACGGTAAGACCTAGACCCGGGACCGATTTACTTTTTCATTTTGATGTCCCCAGAGGCCAAAAACACCATTCGTTCAAATTTTTATATATGTATATATATATATATATATATATATATAGACTTATATATATATACGTCCGTGAACGCGATAACTTGAGTAATTTTTGTCCGATTTTGATGAAATTTGGTTTAAAGGTGTAAAGCGGGATAAACTTGAATGAGTTCGCGAACCAGCACGATCGGACCATGGGAACGGGGCTTTACGGGGGGTTTTATGGCGTAAAAATTGGTTTTTCTTTACTTTTGACCCTCAAAACACAAAATTTCCCGATTTCTCTTTAGACCTTATTAAAGAGCTTAAAAAAACAAATAATTTAGTATATAAAAGTATTTTTGTTCGATTATTAGTAACGAAGAAAATTAAAAAAATTGTAAATTTAAAATTCCCATGTTATTCTTATGGAGAATATTGTCAAATGTTGTAGTTTGCTTGTTTATGGATATATTTTGATCAAACTTGGCAAATTTATTTATTTTTTACTAAGCTATCAATATTTTACTCAAAAACACACTTTATTAGTTTCCTTGTAGCAGCAAACCTAGGTACTCGTTAAACCTAATGTTATTAAAATATATTTAACCGAAAATCAATTCAGACAAATGGAAATTCGCTTAGTCGGCAGGTTTGCTGCGGCGGGGGTATTTTTCCTTAGAACCGTTGGTAGCAGCAAGAATCATTTTTACGTACCAACACATCACTGTAATTTACAAATTAGTTATCGTTGGTGTTGCACCTTATTTATACAGT